TTTGTGTGTCCCCAGACGTCGCTATTCTCCATCTACAAGATTATAAACAGATTAACGCGTCACTGAAATTCACACAAAAGCAGCTCTGCGGTTAGTTGAAGCGGTTAGCAGAGAGCTCCTGGTTGATGTCGCTGAAGCTTCGTTTGTAATACCCGTCTAGGAACCTTGACAGGTAGTGACGTTATTAGTCTCGCGTCATCCCGACAGCTCTATGGCCAGAACAAGAAAAAAGCGGAGGGAGAAACTCCCCACTCAACGGGACTCTCTTTTGTGTGTCCCCAGACGTCGCTATTCTCCATCTACAAAATTATAAACAGATTAACGCGTCACTGAAATTCACATAAAAGCAGCTCTGCGGTTAGTTGAAGCGATTAGCAGAGAGCTCCTGGTTGATGTCGGTGAAGCTTCGTTTGTAATGCCCGTCTAGGAACCTTGAGAGGTAGTGACGATATTAGTCTCGCGTCATCCCGACAGCTCTATGGCCAGAACAAGAGAAAAGCGGAGGGAGAAACTCCCCACTCAACGGGACTCTCTTTTGTGTGTCCCCAGACGTCGCTATTCTCCATCTACAAGATTATAAACAGATTAACGCGTCACTGAAATTCACACAAAAGCAGCTCTGCGGTTAGTTGAAGCGATTAGCAGAGAGCTCCTGGTTGATGTCGCTGAAGCTTCGTTTGTAATGCCCGTCTAGGAACCTTGACAGGTAGTGACGATATTAGTCTCGCGTCATCCCGACAGCTCTATGGCCAGATCAAGAGAAAAGCGGAGGGAGAAACTCCCCACTCAACGGGACTCTGTTTTGTGTGTCCCCAGACGTCGCTATTCTCCATCTAGAAGATTATAAACAGATTAACGCGTCACTGAAATTCACACAAATGCAGCTCTGCGGTTAGTTGAAGTGATTAGCAGAGAGCTCCTGGTTGATGTCGGTGAAGCTTCGTTTGTAATGCCCGTCTAGGAACCTTGAGAGGTAGTGACGATATTAGTCTCGCGTCATCCCGACAGCTCTATGGCCAGATCAAGAGAAAAGCGGAGGGAGAAACTCCCCACTCAACGGGACTCTCTTTTGTGTGTCCCCAGACGTCGCTATTCTCCATCTAGAAGATTATAAACAGATTAACGCGTCACTGAAATTCACACAAAAGCAGCTCTGCGGTTAGTTGAAGCGATTAGCAGAGAGCTCCTGGTTGATGTCGCTGAAGCTTCGTTTGTAATGCCCGTCTAGGAACCTTGACAGGTAGTGACGATATTAGTCTCGCGTCATCCCGACAGCTCTATGGCCAGATCAAGAGAAAAGCGGAGGGAGAAACTCCCCACTCAACGGGACTCTCTTTTGTGTGTCCCCAGACGTCGCTATTCTCCATCTAGAAGATTATAAACAGATTAACGCGTCACTGAAATTCACACAAAAGCAGCTCTGCGGTTAGTTGAAGCGATTAGCAGAGAGCTCCTGGTTGATGTCGGTGAAGCTTCGTTTGTAATGCCCGTCTAGGAACCTTGAGAGGTAGTGACGATATTAGTCTCGCGTCATCCCGACAGCTCTATGGCCAGAACAAGAAAAAAGCGGAGGGAGAAACTCCCCACTCAACGGGACTCTCTTTTGTGTGTCCCCAGACGTCGCTATTCTCCATCTACAAGATTATAAACAGATTAACGCGTCACTGAAATTCACACAAATGCAGCTCTGCGGTTAGTTGAAGTGATTAGCAGAGAGCTCCTGGTTGATGTCGGTGAAGCTTCGTTTGTAATGCCCGTCTAGGAACCTTGACAGGTAGTGACGATATTAGTCTCGCGTCATCCCGACAGCTCTATGGCCAGATCAAGAGAAAAGCGGAGGGAGAAACTCCCCACTCAACGGGACTCTCTTTTGTGTGTCCCCAGACGTCGCTATTCTCCATCTAGAAGATTATAAACAGATTAACGCGTCACTGAAATTCACACAAAAGGAGCTCTGCGGTTAGTTGAAGCGATTAGCAGAGAGCTCCTGGTTGATGTCGGTGAAGCTTCGTTTGTAATGCCCGTCTAGGAACCTTGACAGGTAGTGACGATATTAGTCTCACGTCATCCCGACAGCTCTATGGCCAGAACAAGAGAAAAGCGGATGGAGAAACTCCCCACTCAACGGGACTCTCTTTTGTGTGTCCTTAGACGTCGCTATTCTCCATCTACAAGATTATAAACAGATTAACGCGTCACTGAAATTCACACAAAAGCAGCTCTGCGGTTAGTTGAAGCGATTAGCAGAGAGCTCCTGGTTGATGTCGCTGAAGCTTCGTTTGTAATGCCCGTCTAGGAACCTTGACAGGTAGTGACGATATTAGTCTCGCGTCATCCCGACAGCTCTATGGCCACAACAAGAGAAAAGCGGAGGGAGGAACTCCTCACTCAACGGGACTCTCTTTAGTGTGTTCCCAGACGTCGCTATTTTCCATCTACAAAATTATAAACAGATTAACGGGTCACTGAAATTCACACAAAAGCAGCTCTGCGGTTAGTTGAAGCGATCAGCAGAGAGCTCCTGGTTGATGTCGGTGAAGCTTCGTTTGTAATGCCCGTCTAGGAACCTTGACAGGTAGTGACGATATTAGTCTCGCGTCATCCCGACAGCTCTATGGCCAGATCAAGAGAAAAGCGGAGGGAGAAACTCCCCACTCAACGGGACTCTCTTTTGTGTGTCCCCAGACGTCGCTATTCTCCATCTAGAAGATTATAAACAGATTAACGCGTCACTGAAATTCACACAAAAGCAGCTCTGCGGTTAGTTGAAGCGATTAGCAGAGAGCTCCTGGTTGATGTCGGTGAAGCTTCGTTTGTAATGCCCGTCTAGGAACCTTGAGAGGTAGTGACGATATTAGTCTCGCGTCATCCCGACAGCTCTATGGCCAGAACAAGAAAAAAGCGGAGGGAGAAACTCCCCACTCAACGGGACTCTCTTTTGTGTGTCCCCAGACGTCGCTATTCTCCATCTACAAGATTATAAACAGATTAACGCGTCACTGAAATTCACACAAATGCAGCTCTGCGGTTAGTTGAAGTGATTAGCAGAGAGCTCCTGGTTGATGTCGGTGAAGCTTCGTTTGTAATGCCCGTCTAGGAACCTTGACAGGTAGTGACGATATTAGTCTCGCGTCATCCCGACAGCTCTATGGCCAGATCAAGAGAAAAGCGGAGGGAGAAACTCCTCACTCAACGGGACTCTCTTTTGTGTGTCCCCAGACGTCGCTATTCTCCATCTAGAAGATTATAAACAGATTAACGCGTCACTGAAATTCACACAAAAGGAGCTCTGCGGTTAGTTGAAGCGATTAGCAGAGAGCTCCTGGTTGATGTCGGTGAAGCTTCGTTTGTAATGCCCGTCTAGGAACCTTGACAGGTAGTGACGATATTAGTCTCACGTCATCCCGACAGCTCTATGGCCAGAACAAGAGAAAAGTGGAGGGAGAAACTCCCCACTCAACGGGACTCTCTTTTTTGTGTCCCCAGACGTCGCTATTCTCCATCTACAAGATTATAAACAGATTAACGCGTCACTGAAATTCACACAAAAGCAGCTCTGCGGTTAGTTGAAGCGATTAGCAGAGAGCTCCTGGTTGATGTCGGTGAAGCTTCGTTTGTAATGCCCGTCTAGGAAGCTTGACAGGTAGTGACGATATTAGTCTCGCGTCATCCTGACAGCTCTATGGCCAGAACAAGAGAAAAGCGGAGGGAGAAACTCCCCACTCAACGGGACTCTCTTTTGTGTGTCCCCAGACGTCGCTATTCTCCATCTACAAGATTATAAACAGATTAACGCGTCACTGAAATTCACACAAAAGCAGCTCTGCGGTTAGTTGAAGCGATTAGCAGAGAGCTCCTGGTTGATGTCGGTGAAGCTTCGTTTGAAATGCCCGTCTAGAAACCTTGACAGGTAGTGACGATATTAGTCTCGCGTCATCCTGACAGCTCTATGGCCAGAACAAGAGAAAAGCGGAAAGAGAAACTCCCCACTCAACGGGACTCTCTTTTGTGTGTCCCCAGACGTCGCTATTCTCCATCTACAAGATTATAAACAGATTAACGCCTCACTGAAATTCACACAAAAGCAGCTCTGCGGTTAGTTTCGGTACACGATCGTTGGCAAGCTTCGACCACTTGGTGGCTGGAACGGCTAGAGCATCCTGACGACATCAGCCTCACCGCAGCTTTGCTTATCCTGACCCAGACTACATCACGATTGCGCCGGATGTGACGTGCCCTCCGCTGGCTGCTGCTCTCCGAGCACTTGCTAGAGTGGGCCATTTATAACAAAAAATAAAGCCATCAAACCGAAAATACAAACGTGCGATTGCCAGTTACGGGTATTGTGGAACAAATTCAGCCTATTTCTGAACATGCTGGGTATATTTCAAATTCCGTTGAAGTATTTTTAAAGGGTAATTTTGCAGTTTTTCGAACTTCCCAAACAAATTGCATCTTCTGGATGCCCTGATTTACTCTTCCCGGTATGCTATTCATTGTCTCAAAATTCAAAATAGCTATTGAGAAAATGGTAAATGAAGATGATGACGAAACCTACATTCAAATTTCCGCGCGCTCACCAGTGTTATGACGTGCAAATGCTATAAACGTTCAGGTCGTGCGGGTCGTTGTAAACAGAGCATCCTGAGCGTTTTTTCGTGCTTCTCAGTGAATGAGCTTCCAGTCATTCTTCTCCCACCAATGGACATCTTGTAATTGCTAGGAAACGTGTTTTTCTACCCACTTTGTACCATTTCTTTCGTCACACTTCAGTGTCGCCAGGCGGGGCTCTTGGTCTGAGAAACACAATGAGAACAAAATAAAAAAAATTCAATAACTCTGCAATTTCTTTCTTCGTTGCACACATTACTGGGGGACTGGTACAGCCGTGTCTATCGCTGTGTTGAGCAAATTTTGAGGAAAATCAGTTGAGGAAAAAACCATTTGAGGAAAAGCAAAAAAAAAAAAAAAAAGAAATCACTGGATCGGCGTTGGTGCAGGTGACCGCGTGGCACAGCGGGTTCTCGCCTCAGTCGGCCGCAGTCTCGCTGACGTGCGCAACGTGGGCCTTCCTCCCGGGCTGGCACATGCGCGTGGCCAACCACCCTCTGCCCAAGGAGAGACCGGGACCCGAGCCGACGCCGCTGGTGGTCCTCATAACCAGGCTGACGTGCGGCGTGTTCGTTCCCGTCGGGCTGGCCTTCCTCGCAGCCGCCTACGTCCTGTTCCCAGTGCAGGTGGGTGCTGCCGGTCTACCTATACTCGAACGACCTTTATGGCCTGGGCCTCTGTACTCGCCAAAAATAAAGTTGGGGCCGAAGTTGATGGAGCGCACCGATTGGCCTATCCAGACGATGACGTAGCTCTTTTAGTTTTCGCCGATGTCCAATCGGCGCGCTCTAGGAACGTTTTGTTCCAACTTTGTGTTTGGAGAGTTTAGGTCCCCTGGAGTCACTGAGGGCTGAACATACGAACGAAGGGCGTGACATCTCATCTTCACGCGTCTTGCTTCGCGATGGGTTCTTGGGCTGTCTTACTGGCCAATGCTGCTGTCTCGTTGGCTGCGAAGCGTTAATAATGTCGTCGGGATGTTGCCACGCCCTTACGTTATCAGTGACTAAAGTTACACGACCTGTTCTAACTGCGGGGCAAGGGCCGTTGTACTCCATTCCCACCTCGGTACAACCGCAGTTGACGCTCTGATCCGATGGAGGCGATCACGTGGCGCCAATACTGCGTCTTCATGGAGATCATCGTCTTTTTGCGTCTGTTATCATCGTTTGAATGGATCACACGCAGGGCATTCCCCATGATACGGCGCTTCGTATTTATACCTCATTCGTTTCGCTGGTGATGACCAACGTACAGACGACGAGCGCCATGACGATGCACTTTAGGAGCTGTGCGGAGAGCAAGTCGTCTGCTTTTGGCGCACGAGTTCCGGTGACGTCAGAACGACGCCAAGCAATGATTAGCTTCGATCGAAATGGTAATGAGCAGACGTAGATGCCTCCAGAAATACTCACTATTTCTTTTCGATCAGCCAATAAGAGCTCGGCGTTCTGACATCATCGGAACCGCCGTGAAAGAAGCAGACGAACTTGCACTCCGTTTACGTGACTGGCTCCGTTGCATTTCGGCGTCGGCTGCAGTCGGACTCAAATGTGAGACGGACCACAGCGGCCGCTATGCGCCGATTCGGCTCTTATCGCCAAGGCGAGAAATGCCGGGTCGCTAGACTGTCAATGGACGCGCAGCGTTCCAGAAATAGTTCGCAGTAGAAAGTTACTGAGGAAAGCTCAGAATCCGTTCCACAGCCTGAGAGACAAAGATGGCAGAGTTCAGAAAAAGGCTCAAGGTACACCTAAGCACTTTATATGAGTTGTGTATGCGAAAGCATGCACGCCATTCTTCCGCTTCCTTAATTCGTCTGCAGCGTATTTGCGTCGACGCGTCCAGAGCGCGCCCTCTCCTCTTCTCAGGGCCGCTCTGACCTTCAACGTTTCGTGTTACAGTCGCGCTGACGGACACGCAGCGCCATGGGGTGGCAGTCGTTGAAACGGACGCGCAGCGGCCAATGGGAGCCTCGTCGACGCGCGCCAGCCAATGTGATCGAAACCGAAATCCTTCAGCTTTACTCCGCTCCTTTGGCATCGGGGAAACTAGGTGCCATTTGGCAAGACTTTTCCTGTGGTTTCACAGCTGGGAGCTGGCTCCGCTAGGAGCAAGGATTTAAAATGCCGTTTGGCGCGGCTTCAAAGGCTCGCCCCATGGAACAGTTAATGCTTTCGCATTAAAAAGAAAAAGAGATTATCGTTGCAGGTCATGATATCTGTTAGAACGGAAGATACGTGTCTCCGTGTAGCGCAGAGCTTGTCACGCGACTTTTCCAATTGGTGGATCAAGGCGCGGAATGCGAAGTGATGAGCTACGCGCGGGGGGCTGAACTTGCTAACATGGATCGTAACGACCGTTGCGATAAATCGTGAGCTGACACGAAGTACCACTTATAACTGAATCAAAGCGAACTGAGATTGTGCTACACAGTTGCTTTCCTCCCATTTCAAACGCAAAGAAAACCCTTGCTTAGCTCAACACGATGCACATTATAATTGATTAAGATTGAACAGAGACACGCTATTTAATAATTATAACTGTCAAAAACGACGTATTAGCTTTACTATTTGAGAAAATACAAAAAAAGACAGAGTTTCTCCGCAGACATGAATGCAGAGGTATCTGCGGACACGCCTCAAGCATATTTTTGAAGTATGTTTCCTCTATACATAATTCGGACATGTCTGCAGACAGTTGTTGTATGAACAATGTGACAGGACTTTCATGCAAGAAAGAAACATGTCTCAGACTGTGACTGAAGACTGTCTTGTGGGATGCATTCGTAGTGCGAGCGCGACTTGTGTGGAATGAGACTAAAAGAATACGCGCCACAACAGCTATCGTTGTCACTTCTTCCAACACGGCCTGGCAGAAAGATGCGAACTTGCCTCGGCTCTTTGCAGGAGCGAGTGAGAAACGTGAAGCTGCTCCAACTGCTCGCCGGGGCGACTTCGGCTGCCTTCTGGGGCTCCGCCCTCCTTGTGGACATAGTGGTGCATGCCGTCTGTTCGGCGGTGCTTCTCCTGCCTTTCGTCGTGTTCGACTGGCACGGCCTCTACTCGGATTCAGCGACTCTCGGTAAACGACGGACGACAAGCTCCCTGCAGCAAGGCCCTAGTTTTTCTCTATTTTTTTTTACAGCGGAGCTGTTAAGGGCTAGTTTCGCCAGTTTGGTGTCCGTCGCCAAGTAAATGTCGACACAAAACTCTGGACAGCTACCGCCATCTATGAGTGACGGCGGCAACAAGACAAACGGCTTGCCGGTGGTCTGGTTGCCGCCGTCGTTTATTGACGGCGTCAAGTTTCCAGGGCCTTCCGTCTTTGGTTTTCACCAGAGTGAAAAGGCTGAACTTTTCTAGGCGTCGTCCTAGAAGTCGTCCTCGAGGTGCTCCTAGAAGTCGTCCTTGAGGCCGTTTAAGAAGTCGTGCTTGAGGTCATCCCACCATAGTATAGCTTCGCTGGTCTTCCTTCTTCACCAGTGTGGAAAGGCTGCAAGTTATATTTTTTTTTTTGATGGATATGAAGAGGGTGCGGAAACTGGTGTTTTGAATGCAGTTCGGGGAAACAACAACGCATCCGCTTCAAACAGCTTTAGCGGAGGTTGCTTTAGAAACTAAATGGAGTAATTGTTGGTTGTTGTTATACTTGAAGTGAAATGTTGACGAGAACAAAGCAACATACTTGAGACGTTCATAATTCTGGAGTCGTTTATCTGCTAACGAGCACCTTTCAGTTGCCGAGTTTACAACGCGGGGGAGCAGCTGATCAGTAGAATCGTCATTTCTGTCTCGTCCTTGATTCATGACTTCATTCCGCATGAAATATATATATATATATATATATATATATATATATATATATATATATATATATATATATATATATATATATATATATATATATATACGTATATATATATATATATAATAGAAAGAACGCAAAACGCAGGGACGGGCAGGAGATTTTTCAACCATCCCTGTGTTTTGTGTTCTTCCTATTATTTATATTATCCTTCCCGGGACGCTCTCCACTCCCAATAGAAACATAAAATTAAGGCCCACAAATAGAGTCGCGCTTTAAAATTATGTAAACTTATAATTTCAAAAGTATGAGTTTTGTTACGTTTTTGCTTATCTTAGGGGCCGCTCAGTTAGCGACGCAGGATATTGGCAGCGGGCGCAACAACTGCGCTGCGCTAATCTGGTACTGCAGGGTTCGTGTTTTTGCTGATGCTGGTGTACGGTTGGGCCTCCATCCCATTGGCCTACGTGACGTCACTGGTGTGCGACAGGCCTTCCACGGGATACGTGGCCATCGCCAGCCTGAGCATCGTGGCCGGTACGAGTCTGGCGGCTGCCCCCGGGCACGCGGTGTTTGAAACTCTTTCGCGGGAGGGACAGCGCCCTCAGCACCATGGTGCCTTAGTGTGCTTGTCGTCCTTTCTTTCCCACGTATTGAAAGTGATTCTGAAGTGGCAAGAAATTACGCCAGGAGATCGGGCTTTTCACGATGTAGTATGTCGCGATTCTGGCGGCTGGTCGTACAACTTTTGGAAAAAGTAGGAACAAACTCGAGTGGCGCTGTCGTCGCGGCGTCCCCAACTCCTGGCTGCTGAAATATTCGGGGGCTGTCACGCTCGAGAGCGACCTGAGGCAGAGCAGGCGTCTGCCGCGTCTAACTCTGCTGCGGTGGAACCACCAGTATTGCGGCAAGCAACAGTAGGGCACGTTCGAGACATCATTAGAAAGAAATTGAGGGATCCCATCTGAGGACGTGGCAAACAAAACCAGTCGAATACGCATGTTCAGGGCGTTTCTCTAAGATACAGTGTAAGGTAATACTTTGTGCGATTCCTCGAAGCTTTGGTTCAGGGGCGGATTTGTGGTTCAGGCTTGGCGGTTGGGAGGGACGGAATGGAGAGGGGGGGGGGGGGGTTGCAAAGTGATATAACCTTACGGACGGATCTGAGGACACAGCCAATTGTAATTCATAGTTTACAAAGAACAAGGCATTTTTTCTAAAAAAGAAAAAACAGACATGTGTCACATACGCCCTTGTTTTAATAAAAAGAAGTGCCCTCGGGGGATAAGGCTGGAACACTTTTAAAGAAAATTTCCACACCCCACCCTCAACCGCCGGCTGAGGGGGGTGGGGAGGGGCAATTTCTTAATGAAAATCCTCTCACTTCAAAGTAAATCTAAATCAAATCAAAGTTTGATTTGATTTGTTCCGTTTTAGACCGCTGCTGCTTTGATTGCAGGTTTGGTGCTGAATACCGCCATGACGCTATTGTACACCCTGCCCCTGCTGGATCCTCCCACGAATAACAGCAGCAGCGAGAACCCCGGCTTGGACCTGGCGCTCACTGCCTTCCGATTGATCCCCAGCTTCGCGCTCACCTGGGGCCTCTCCAATTGCCTCCAAGTACACCGAGTCCATCCACTCGGGCTTTGCTTCCAGAGTGCTGGCTAGTGTTTGTATGAATGTGTGGCGATAGCCACTGTTGAAAGTTCGATCTTAGGTTTCATCAGAGGTTATCTCCTTTCGCCAGACTCTCCAAGACTGTTTCGCTAGTAACGTAAGTCAATGAGAAAGAGAAAACGCTTAATTGTAATTCCCATGTAAGGAGTTTTGTTGTGGTGGTCTTCCACTCCTTGCCGAGCAAGCTCTCCCCGTGTGAATGAAACGTCCTTCAGGGGCCTTTGATACTCAAGAAAGTGAGAATTCCTTTCTTGCCCGGTTCTGCGAATTAACTTCGGTTAAAGCCGAGACGCTACGCACTGCTGCGCAAAGTTACAATGCCGTGTCTAAATTTCGCTGCCTGACTTTCGTAAAATGTTCACGTTTCAACGTTCAGTGTTCACGTTTCACTGTGACTTCGCCTGACACCATATTATCACCTAACACTATGACATCACGTGGTACCATGATGTCACTCAACACTAAATTATGCTAAGTGTAGTGAAGAAATTCCCCCCCTAAATTTCGACCGTAAACTTTCCCGTCAGACATAGCGGAATGATTTCTCTACTAAATATTGCGGGAAAATTGTAACATTATCTGCTATGACGTCACGTGACACTTTAACGTCATAATGTCCTGAGACTGTCTTGCCGCTAGATTGAACGGGTTTACCGCAAAATTTTTCGGGCCTCAACGCGCGTACCCGAAACACACCGACTCCGTTGCAAAACCTCGCCATTTATGCATTCTACCGTAAGAAGGGAATTTTACCGTAAGAAGTGAAATTTTCCCCGCTAAATTTAACGGGTAAATTTCCGCTAAATTTAGCGGGAAAAGTTACGCATAATGCATCGCGCGGTTACGCCGACAGCGACGTCGCTCAGGCCGGAAACGGGCGTCTAAGAACTGCGCTTTAAAAGATAAATACCAATTAAAGCAGTAATCGATTAATTGTTAGGTTAATCGACCAGGTGCCCATATTATTTACGAGCCCTTTAAAAAATAAAAGAAGCGGAGACATAGGGCAACCTTTCTGACATAAGCACGTGATGACATGGAGCGTTTACCAAGTTCCTTTCACACCGTCAAAACTATTGTTTATACCAGACGATGAGCTGAGACCTGGACTCACTGATGTCTACTGTAGTAGGCTGGATAGCGGTTAGGCGCTTGCTTTGCTAGAGTCGAGTGGCACCACCAGCCGCCATTGTTTCACACCAGGAAATGCGTTGAACGCTATAAAAAAAGTGAAAAAGTTAGATTTTTTAAAATTGTATGATATATGCATTGGACGACCAAACTTCGACGAAGTTTTCTAAGAATGATGATGCATTTTTATGTTGTGATGTTGACGCATCTTACACATAAGGTTTAGGAGAAAAATACTTCTCGATCCTTCGTTGACTTACTCCACGGGCCCCACGAGAAGCCAGTAGTAGCCACTCCGTTATGCAAAGAGCCAGAAAGGCTTGGTTCGATGCCATAATTAGCTTCGTATTTTTACTTATGGAAGGTTGCATATTAAGCTTGAGGCATTATTCTGGTTTCCGAATTAAGTCAGACGATATATAATGACAAATCTAATCTTACTCGCTAAATAGCTCTAGTAACTTTTCTTAAAAAAAGGAAATTCTTACTAGAAACCGTGTTTGTGTTGCGAGAAATGTTTAAGCAAAAACGGAGGTTTTGGAATCTTTATGGGAACAGTGGAGCAGACGACTTCCGTCAATGGCAACAGACGACAGAGGTTGGCACGCTGTTTGTGTAATTTAATAGCCTTCTCAGCAGTCACTGGCGATTTAACATTTTTACGTACTATTCCCGAAAAACCTAATAAAAGTGTTTTTTTACGAGACAATCGACACAAGCTCTAAAAATTTTATTTTTTATTTATTCCTCATATAGGCCCGCATGCATTGCGTGGTGTCGAGCGATGGACGCCGGTGGTGCCACCGTCGGGCTCCCGATCCGCGGTCCAGCCTATGCAATAGAGATCAGCGCTTACATGCTGTTTACAAAGAGGTCCGCGTTTTCATACGCTACGTGTGGGCACTGCGGCGCTACGCAGGAACCAGATCCGCGTCAAGTGACACATTTGCGCATGCGGCGCGTCGACAGCAGCGCCACCGCAACTGCGTGACGTGAGAGCGGCGTGTTGGTGCGCAGACCGCTCCAGCGTTTTTACTCACGCACAGCCCAGCACGAGAATGTTGGTCGCTTTAGTAAGCAGGCGAGGCACGCACCATACGCAGAAACACCGACATTGGTACCTGCCAGCTTCCATCGACGCAATCTCTTTCAGGAACTTAACGTTTGCCTTGAGGAACTCAATGCTGACTTCCATTTCACTTTCAGAAAAAAAGGCAAAATATTCACCATTTTGAATATATGTATTTTGTTTACCTAAAAAATGCACCATTCTGGGGTTAAACGACTAGATCGCTTTCTAGGCATCATTTACAGTCGTATGCGACAAAAATAAAAACAAATATTGATGATGGATTTGTCAGTGCGACAAATGCATCTAACGCCACGATCCGATGGCGCCAATCGTGTTGCGCCCAAAGTGCATCGTCACTGTGCTGGCGGTTTTTGTCCGTTTGTAATCACAGATTACTGTGGAGATCGGTTATAGCGAAGTCAACGGGAATCTGGAATCACCTCGCTATATCCATTATTTCGTTATAACTGACTTCGGCTAACGAAGTGCAAAGAGGATGGGAAATCGGGATCACTTCGCTGTATCCGCTATTTCCTTATAACCGACTTCGTTATAACCGGTCTCTACAGACCAATCGTGCAGAAAAAAAAGGTGCAGGATCAAGGCGCATTCACTGTGCGTGATTGGTCTATAGCCGGCGATAAGAAATGCGCAAATATGACGAGTGCTACGACGTTACACTTCTGTCGCTGCTTGATCGGCGCCATCAAAGTCGTTTCATACTGAGAGAGTCTGCCTTCTTAAGGAGATTTTGACATTCTGGCAACCAGAGCAGCATAGTCTCACAACCGGGAGATGACTACTTCCACTCGCCATTTTGTGGCTCTGACTCATAGGAGCTCTTTGCGATTTCTCAGGAATGAAAGAGACAAAGGAATGACACCACTTTGTGTTATCGCAAAATCTGCTGGTTCTAGCGCGCAACAAGCTCCGCCCATTGGTCAAACTCTCTCAGTATAAACGGTTCTGTGCGCCATCGGATTGCAGCGTTGGTTGCGGTGGGATTTAATGGGAAACGGATCATAACTCCTCGCTGTTGCGTGGAGCCTCAGAAGTCGCAGAAGCGGGTGGCGTGCAAATACATGTCGGCTTGCGACCGCCTTCCTGTTCTGAGTGGAGCAACTGTGTCGGTTGTGTATAGGCACCGACTTCATACGTTTATTTTTCATCCCAACCGGAGGTGTGAGTTGATTGAGGCGACTAGGCATCAGGTGGGTTTAGTAGCCGATAACTTTGCCGTCAATCATCGCGTCTATCTAGAACTATGTATAACATTATACGCGCAGCCATTGCACGGGTGTCATCGATGGGTTTTGTACATATTATAACGTGGCGGCATACGTTTCCTCACATTTTGAAGCTGTTGGCGTTAGCTTGCCCAGTATCTCTTGGAGTAAGCCGTGCGTATAACAACGCCGCGATGACGTGCCGCCATTAATGCGCGACGTTGTTTGCCTCAGAATTCGCAGGAGCGGGTGATGTGCGAATACATGTCGACGTTCGACCGCCTCCTGTTCTGCCACGACAGCAGCTTCATCAGCGTGCCTGACCACCTGAACCGCTTCAAGGAGTGCTGCCCAGGTTAGTAAAGTAACCCGGCTTTCCTAAAGCCGACTGATACTCTCTTTGGCAACTAGCATCAGCAAAAAAGAAACTAAAAGTAATTCAGTGTTCGTGTCTATGCGGCGTAAGTTTAATCTGTCATTTAGGTGTTGCGACACTAGTTTACGTTGTAGATGAAAAATGTAACCACTGCGGTACTACGGCTGCAGCCTACAAAACGCCTGCGCGTCTACGAACCCGCAGAACACTCAAAGAGCCAATCTCTGCGGTCTACGAAATCAACTCATCGAATGATGAAACGGAACATCCGTTTAAACCTAAAAATAAAGTATGCGCTGCGACATTACGCAATGCGAAGATTCATGCTTAATGCCACAGCACAGACTGAATTTTGAGGTCTAAACAGATGTTCCGCCTCATCATTCGCTGAGCTGATTTCGTAGATCGCAAAGATTGGATCTTTGAGTGTTCTTGGCGTAAATAGACGCGTAGGCATTATTTTGAGAGTAGCCTGGGCTCTTTAACCTGCATCACGCAGTAGTAATACACCTTAAAGACCCCAGCCAACACGGGTGACAAAGCATATCTTGGGATGCCATGATGAAATCTTAGCTTATTTTGTTGCTGTGCGTCGCCATTTGCTTTTTAAAACACTACACCACTGCGCGGTAGGAGCTTTAAAAAAATGTCGGTACCTACAAGAAGCGCGAAGCGCACCTTTTATCTAAGAGCCCTGGTTGTCACACAGTCGCGACTCATTTTGTTCAATGTACACAGGAATATTAGGTCTGACGAGCTCCAGTACTAAGCTTGAGAAAGTTAAAGACAAGATCTGCGCTAGCTCCATGCAGTGTTGCCTTTGTTCCTGTACACGAGGAACGAAAGCTCGTTCTATGTTGCTTCTCAAGCTCTGAAGGTCTGCCCGCTACAAGTCCCAATGGTTCACAAGGAATGCAGTCCCGTTACGAATTCTAAGATCGGAACGTGGCGGTGATTTGTAGTTACATTTGCGTATTTTATAAAACTTCTTTCTGGTTAATCTGTAGATAAAATAAAGCAAGCAAATTAAACTATTCGCATCAAACTACCTGTCGAGTCACCAAAATTACATTTCCTCCTGTCCTTTGTTCAACTATCTTTGTGACACCTACCCATATTTTGAAGTTGGAGGTCGAAATAGCCGTCAATAAAAACTCCAAATGCTCACTAACTTCGATTAAAATGCATCTAAATAGAAAGAAACATGGAAGACCCTTGCCGTCCCTTGAAAACGTAATAAGTTATTAGGCCCTAAAAAAACTATCTGCGCATCTACTCTGCTGCGGAGCAGATCGCGGGCCAATCACAGCTATATATACGTAGCGCGTAGTGAAAATAAAGAATTGATTTGGTTCGACAGCGCGGTCCGCTCGCGGACAATAAAAAAATCGCAGTGGCTTAGCTCGGCTATGCCAGGATATAGGGAGTATTCACTGGCGACCATAGCTGTGTGCCCGAATGATCAGCGCGTGCTGATGGCGAGCTTCCACAGTTCTCTTGCAACATGCATTCCGCACCCTCAAGAGTGCCGGCCTTAGCAGCCTATTGATGTGAGCTCGTTCTGAGCATGCGCTCTAAACAGCACCCACAAATATGGCGTCTAGTGAATACTCCCTATACGTAGCGTGAGCGGTCGGGCACGTTGCTCAGCCTCCTGGCGACGCCGCTTTGCTAGACGTTCCTCTCTTTGCTCCGGTGTCTCCGCAGCACGTTTAGCCTTCAGTTCGTTCTTCGTACGCTCAACCGCTAATTGCCAGGCAACTACTTCGGGATCCAGTGAGTTAAGCTTCTCCGCTTTTCTGCGCCGCTGAGCAGGAATTTCGCTCCCCTTCTCCATGGCTATACCACATTGGCAAACGCCCCGCTATATGTATACCCCCACTGATACCTCTGCGCATGCGTAGAAAATGAGATGCGCTATCAAGCGGCGCCGGTGCAGCGTCAGACTTGGCTAGTGCGCAACGGAGGCGCACAGCTGGGCACGCGGCGGCGCCAGTGCGTTTGCCGCGGTTATGACGTCACTCCTCTGGAACGCGCAGACCGGCGAGGCGCGCGCGGCGGCGGCTCCGGCGCACCAGCTGTGCGCCGTGTGACGTCACTGCTTCTCGCGCATGAGCAGCACGGCTCTCCAGGGGCCACGCGAAACTGCTCAAACTCGACCAGCGTAGCTCACGCTACAAAAACGAAACGCCACGCTTTTTTTTAACGAGCATACGGGATGTTTAACGTCGTTTGCTGGATTTGCGCCCTTGATCTCCAATGTTGGTCACGTGCTCTGCAAACAAAGTATGCACGCAGGCAGTTTTAGGGTAAAACGACAAAAGAGAAAATTCGCGTTTGCGCGCTAACGTGTTGAGGCTGTGGAGCAATCATCGCAATCTGCTAAGCGCCTTGTTTCAATAAGAAGGTCCATAAATATTTTCCGTAGCTACCCGACCTGCCCTATGGCCAGGGCTGCCAACACGGCAAGTCAAGATTTCCCCAGCTGAGGCCTGAAATTCCCAAATTCGTGCTGAAATTTCCCTCACTTGCCCAAATAATTATTGAATACTAAATATTCGTTGTTTTCCGTATCACTTCTATTTTTGCTATGCGAAATATGGTACATGCCGAGAAAAAATTTCGTTTGCTTCTTGCGCAAGGGTTGCGCAAGATTGCGCTGATTGAAAAAAAAAAGATTGGATAGACCTCAAGGCGTCCAGCCATTGAGGTCCACCCACTTTCCTTAAAACCAAAGCCAATCATAGCTCGGCGTCGTTCTGACGTCACCGCAACCCTTGCGCAAGAAGCAGATGACTTGCCCTAGGCATAGCCTTTACGCCTCGCGTATGTTTCGGAATAAATTAGTTTATCGCGCCAAAAACCGTGGCCAAAGGAAATCAGGCGAGGTTTGAAGTGTTACCGGAAGATTCAAACTGACGAATGAAAGCCTATCTTTGGCTTAGATGTTATTCACCTCATCCAAACATGATACTGCTTTATTGATTTCATTAGCGCATTTTATAATAGTCAGTTCAAAACATAACCAACACAAGCGAGAGTTCTCAAACTCGAATACACGAAACACGAGGGCACTTCATGAATTAATATTAATCATAGTATGTCTGTATCCTCAGACATTACAGTATTTATTCTTGTACACCAGCTTTTTATCTTTCGAAAAAGCACAGCGGCCACAGAATCTTCGACTCGGCTGGCACCTTCCTTCATAGTTTTCAGGGGACGATGAAAACTGATTTTGACTAAAAACGTTGGATGTATAGATAGATGCTAATGGCTGTACCCTTTCGAACAAGAGGCATCTTATACCACCTAGACTAGTACTCTTTAGTGTCGCCAGATGTTCGCACCACAAACCGCCAAACGGCTGCAGAAAATAATCGAAATATAGCCAAAGCCGTTTAAATTTGATGTTAAGTGGAAAAAATCATAATCGACCTATAAAATTACATATATATACGGTGCCCAAAAGTTCCCTCAGACAAGCAAGTTTTTTTTTTTTTTTTTCATTCCCACATAGATCTGACTATTAGCAATCTTGAAAATTTCCTTCTCGTTGGCAGCCCTGCCTAAGGCACCGGTTGTGTTTTTGAGTGAAACGGTGTAGGGTGTCACTATAGGGGTATTCACACGAGGGAGAAATTCCGGGGATTTCTCCCCGGCACGCGCATCCCAGGACGAAAACGTCAGGCTGTGCGATGTGCAAAAGCCTCGCGTTTTCATCTCGTGATACGCGCGTGCCGGGGAGAAATCCCCGGGATTTCTCCCTCGTGTAAATACCCCTTATTCGGTTTGCTAATCGCAGCAACTGCATCTTCCCGTCAATTGCAGAAATGAAGACGCGTAGATGTCTTAGTGTGTACGATTGGCCCTCCTTGCACTCAGCTTTTATGTAGATACCCGATTTTTTATTAGGTGTTTGCGAATATGTTTCATGTGGAATTGATCAGTGTCGTCCATCTCTGTTGATAAAACCGATTGTTGTGCCACTCTCGTGACCTTTGATGGCTATGAATGACGTAGTGCTGTTTCATTCCGACCACTATTCGCACATCCTTACCTTTTATACCCGGGGACAACTTTTCGTGGCGTTTCAGCAGTGCTCATGCACTGGTCTGATCTGACTTTGAACTGTACAAAAGCACGGCAGCTCATTGCTTGAATTGCACTGCGTGGCAAAGCAATAACCCCATGCAAAAATGGTTCATGGTCGGCTCTAAAAATATTTTTGTAATGCCGGCTTTAAAAATGGCTTAATGAACTATAGCCGCTTCAATCGCTTCCCATAGCTTTTTTATGGTGTTCCCTATGAATGTGTATAGCTTTTTATGCTCTATACATGGTTAGCTTCAACGATCTATAGCTTTTCCAATGAATACCTATTGCAGTTCTAAAGGTTTATTTTATGGACCTTTATTGGAAAGGGTGCTATAGCACCCTTTCCTAAGAGGCTCATAAAATAAACCTTTATATATATATGTATAAAATATATATATATATATATATATACATATATATATATAGCCGCCTGTGGCTTTTCTTACGATGTTGCTAGCCATCTATAGCTTTTTGTTTGTTCTGCTATCAAGATTTCTAGAGCTTTCTCTCTGGGCATCTTCAGCCAGCGTGCTATGCATGCTTTGCATTGACGTCACATCACCCATTTTGGACCACCACGAAAGAGAAAGAGTGGGAAGCTGCTTTTGTACGAATTTAGAGTGACGGGTTAATCTTCCATAATTTTTATGAGGGGAAATAGCGGCGTCTGGGCACATCTGGGATATACAAAATAGAGTTCCGGTGAGATGAGAGTTCCTCCTTTTCCTCTTCTCTGGTGGTAGATGGAGAGCTGACGGGATGACGTCAGGTACAAAGCATGTATAGCTGCTTACGGTTTTTTCCCATGGTTTCTTTAGTCCTCAATAGCATTTTGCATGGTCTGCTATAAAAGCTTTTATGGCTTTCTCTATGGGTCTCTT